AGGCTGCCTCAAGTCTCAGCTCACAAAAGACCAACGCCTATGTCTTCTTATATACAAAAGTGTTTATTGCAGTTCATTGTTTGCTTGACATCCTAGGCGCGCAGCCCTACGTCTGCTACGCTTAGACCGCTGAAGTCCCCTCTGAATCCGTCCTCCCCTGCACCAATTTAAGAGGCTTGCGCTGCTCCACCTCTTTCTCTCTTTCCTTTTCCGCAGGGTCCTTCTGCCCGCTGGGGTTTCGCCCCTCCTGGATTCCTCTGACGCGGAATCAGACTGCTCTTGCCCCCTCCTGCGGGCTTTGGGACCTGGCCCCTCCTCCGGGCTCCCTGTACTCCGCGCGCCTCTACATTTGAACTTGGCGCGCGCGCCCAGCCTCTAACCTTCCTTTCAACAGCTACACTACTCCCTTCCCTGCTCCCTCCCCTTCCGGGAGGATGAGCTGCTCCGACCTCCCTCCTTTCTCTGCTGCCGGAGCCGCTTCCCTGACACACTGAAACCTCCACCCCCCTTCGCTGCACTCTGGCGGGAGGCTGGTCCTGACACCCAGCTGCCACTTTGGGATGCCCAGCTGGCCCCCTGCTCCTGACACGTCCCCCTGGGGCTCCTGGGCTTGACCACCGGCGCCCCCTTCTGGGAATCCTCTGATTCGCTGGAAAGACTCATGGAATCTCTTGAGTCATTGTCATCCTCTTCCTCGCTGTCCTGGGATTCATCCCCATCGCTCTCCATCTCCTGCCCACCCTGTGCCTCTGTCCCTGAACCCCTGACACCTGGTATTTGGTTGCCAGCAAATGATAACCAGAGTGATAAAGCCTTTGAACATGAAGATTCCAGTTCCAGCTACTGCAAGTGGGCTGCAATGTAGAGTGCTCCTGCTCACAGGGCCAGGTGGCCAGCTGTGCCCTTTTCCAAGATTTTCCATTCCATTCAACTCTCACCTCTGGTTTTCCATTCTTTCCCAGATCCCAGCAACACTCCAGCTTCTGTAGATGCTAAGCATGCTCAGTTCTCATCTCTCTAGAGTTTTCCACTTCAAGATTTCTGTGTTTCTGGAAACACTGAGACTCCACTGATAACCTCCCTCTTATATGTGGATGCTGTCGTTTAAACTGCATAAGGATCCACACTCCGTGAATAAGTACCATATTTTTTGCTCTATAACACGCACCCGACCATAACACGCACATAGCTTTTAGAGGAGGAAAACAAGAAAAAAATATTCTAAACAAAACAGTGGATGTATGATTTTTGTGGTTCATGCTATGGCCACAGACATGTGATCTGACGGGGAGTTTGGGGTAGCCCAATGCAAAAATCCTGAGGATCTATGTGGATCTGTGCTTTGTGACCACGTTTTAAGTGGGGAGGGAAGGAAAAGCACTCAAGGGACAAGGAACACGTGTGGGGTGGGTAGAGAAGGATGCTGTTAATAATGCAGAAGAGGGGTATAAGAGGAGAAGGCTCCTCTCCTCTCCCGCTTTGCTCCTTTAAAGCAAGCAGGCTCTGCTTCTCTCCCTCCTCCCCGGCTCACTGAAAAACTTTGCTGCTATTTAGCCAGCTGAGTGGGGAGGAGAGAGGGACAGAGAGCCTGCTTGCTTTAAAGGAGCCAACCGGACAGGACCTGCTTACACCCGCTTTGCTCCTTTAAAGCTAGCAGGCTCTCTGTCCCTCTCTCCTCCCCACTCAGCGGCTCTTCTCCCGCTTTGCTGTTTCAAAGCGAGCCACGGAGGAGGGAAGGAAGGGGAACCATGGATCCTCTGCTCACGACTGCAGCAGATCCCCCCCGCCATCCATAGGCATTCGCTCCATAACACGCACAGACATTTCCCCTTACTTTCTAGGAGGAAAAAAGTGAGTGTTATGGTGCAAAAAATACGGTATTTAGGTTGCCTAATAGTCATTCATTCATTTATCACCTC